GAAAGGAGCTGTGTGTATCCCTTAGTCCACAAATCTAAATGCATTGTTTATGAGTAATGATAAGTTTTCTACATCCTTTTCAGTCTTCATATTCCTTACTTTACTTTCTTATCTAGGTGCATTAGCTAGTACTTCCAGAATAGCATTGTAGCATTAAGTATGTATTTATTCCTATATTTAATGGACATGCTCTTAGAATTTCACTGTAAACACAAAGCTAGCTTCCAGTGCATATATGTAGCCATTTACTAAAATTTCTTTTATCAAAAATGAATATTGAATATTGAATTTTATCAAACATGCTCCCAGCATCAATTAAAATGTTTCTATTTCTTTAACTTATTTATTATGGAGAAATATATTAATGTTTTCTCAAAATTAATCAAAATTTTCTCAAAATCATCTTCTTTCTCTTTAAGCCCATCATACTGTTGCATTGAGTTCAAGGACTCTTAATGTCCCACCTGGGCTGATCATATAGTCTTAACATGGTCCCCTGACTCCAGGCTCACCATCCTCCCCACTACACAACAGGGGGCCTCCTCAACACAAAGGGCATTATGTCATCCTCTTGCTTAAAATCCATTGTTGATCCTATATGTATCTTGCTGTTACATTGCCAAGGCCTTTTATTATTTGGCCCATTTGCTTTCTACTTCATGTAGAAAGAGGCCACGTGATCAAATGGAAAGAGCTCCAGATTGGAATCAGAGATGGATTTGAGTCCTAGCCCTGCCTCTTATTAGTTATGTGACCCAAGGCAAGTTAGTTAAGTCTCTACTATTTCATCTGAAAAACAGAGCCAGAATTAAGTTACAGTTTATGGTAAGGACTAATTAAGACAATGTACTATAAAGAGTGCAACCCAAGAAAGCACTCAAGAAATTATTGCTACTTTAATCTTCTACCATTACTCTATCCCCTCCATATATCCTTTGTTCTGCCTTATTAAGCAGCTTACAATTCTCAAACACATCATATTCTTTCTTATTCTACTTGGAATGCTTCCCTTCCTCAGCATCTCCATCCCTAATGTTTGTTCTCTTAGCTAACTTGTGCACATCCTTAAAACTTAACACCAAAGTTTTTTCTTTTGGGAAGCCTTTCTTGGCCTCATTCTGGTAGTTTGTTGTTCTCTCATTATTGCCATAGTAACACCATCTTCATTGCTTTGTATTCTAGCACCCAGAGGAAGAAGGGTCTGTAAAGCCACAGCATAACGGATATCTCTCTAAAATACAGAGAGTTGGGCAGTGCTGCCTTTGTGCCTTCCACATCAAAGTGGCCTGGGCACATATTCTCTCCCACACAACTGGCAGTAGCCAGGACCCCAGGAGTGTCTCCTGTCCTCACTCAGGAGTAGCAAAGGTGGAGGATGCTACATGGTGTCTACAGAATTATACCAGAACACTCCATCTTTCCACCCCCTACGGACTTTAAGGAGGGCTAATATTCCTAGAGGTTGCCCCTAGATGATGGAGTCAGAAATTCATTCTTTTTTATTGCAATCTGGCTGTGATCTGTAGGGATATAGGTTATGATATCAAGGACATTTTCTGGAATACTTTAAGAGAAATGATAAATGATGAAATAATAGACAAAAAAAGAGCACAAAAATGTCTACCTGGTATAGAAAGTACCACTTCTCTTCTGACCAAGGAATGTGTTGTGTTTAATGATCTTCTTCCCCCTTTCCCTCCTTCTTTTCTCTAGAATACCTCCCTCATTCAGAATCCTTGCCCCCAAACCATCCTTTTCAACCTTTAGCTTCTGGCCAGTTGGTTTTCCCTGAGTTTGGTCAACTTATTCAATCCAAGTCTTTGCTTTAACTTTTTTTTTTTTTCAATATCTTATTATCTTAAACATAGTGAGGGAAAGTGGAGGCAGGTGCATGGGACACTCTGTACTATTTTTGCAACTTTATGTGTATCCATAAGTATTTTAAAGTAAGAGGTTAGAAAAGAATTTCTTCCTCTTTAAAAAGATTAAAAAATATTTCTATGAGGAATACCTCACCTTCCCACCTTGTGCAATGGCATTGTTGTTATCATTCATTTGATGGATAATGAGATTCTGCTCTTTGTCCTATGAGTGGGTTGATGCATTGGAAAAAGCACTGAAATGATGAATCTAAAGACTTGAGACAAATTACTTCATAATCTGGGCATCTATAAAATGAGGATTTATATTTAATCTCTCAGTTCTATGATAATGCAAAGAAACATTATATAAATTACCAAGATTTGTCAGATAAATATCTTATGTTAAAAGTGATTAAGGAATAAATATCTACTTATTGCATAGTATAACAAAGGTAAAATTTTCAATGATATGTTTCAAGATTATTATACTTAAAATGTTGTATAAATCCAAATTATTGTATTATTTACAGAGTCAAAACATGTAGTGAAATCCGATGCTGCCTACCGAACTAATGGTACTCTAGAGAAGTGGTCTCTAGGGTACCTGGATGGCTAAGTTGGTTAAACGACTGCCTTTGGCTCAGGTTATGATCCTGGAGTCCTGCATCAGGCCCCCCGCTCTGCGGGGAGTCTGCTTCTCCCTCTGACCTTCTCCCCTCTCATGCTCTTTCTCACTTTCTCTCTCTCTCTCTAAACAAACAAACAAACAAACAAAACAGTTAAAGATTAGTAATGACAAGAAATCACCGGGAAAAAAAAAGTGGTCTCTAAACATTTTTGGTCACAAAAAATATGCACTGTTGTCAATCTACATATTAAATATTAGTAAAGTTTGATTTCTTAATTTAGATAAAAATAGAGATATTCTAAAAGTTTCTTCCCAAATGCTCTAGAGGTTAGATTTGTTACAAGAAATTTCCACTTGTATATTTTCAGACCAAACCTGTTGAATCCTCTCTTCTGATCATTCTTGCTATAATCATATATTAACACTAAGTCCTCCATTAGCAATAGGATTCATGGTAGAACCTGGAGAAAGTCTATCCCATGCCTTACTGTTTTTTATCATTTAGTGCCTTTAATCTTAGTGCCTTTAAAAAGTCCTAAGAACTTCAGGACCTTTAAAAAGTATTTTATTTTTAAAATACCTACCTCTTAAAATACTAATGCGTAAAGTAGTATTATACCTTTAAGTAAAGAATTATTATATAGGTCGATTTTTAAATTATTCATTACATTCTGTATGAAAGTGGTTTTCTATAATTGTGCTTTCTTAATAGTGACTTTTAAAATGCCTTAAATATTAAACAGTCTGGATAAAGGAAAAATGTGGCTTGAGTTTTTGAATTAGAAAAAATTCCTGTTTAACGAACCAACTCTAAACTTGTTTAATGATGAATTTCAGCTTTGGTGGTCATCAGAGGAAAAGCCTTTTCCTGAACAGAAAAGTCAGTCTGGATGTTTTATGCAGACTCAGTGTTATGCAGCTTTGCCACAAGGAGAGGAAGGAAAGAGCTGATCAGGGTATAAGAAAAGGTGACGTAAAGCCTTTTTGGATTAGGTATGAACCACTCTTAAGAAGTCAGTTTATCAAGGCGGTCAAGCCCAGGAGAACTGGCACAAATAATCCAAAATGAGAGTACACCATGGATTAATGCTTATGTTTAGGTCTCTTAATGACATATGGAAGCGTATTTGAGTAGCTAAAGGGCACGTTATCAATGCAATTCGATTCCACAAACATTTATTAAGCAGTTTGTAGTACAGAAATAAGGCATGATCTGTGTTCTCAAGAATTTCACAATCTAGTGAGATATAAAAATCACAAATAGGAAGGTACCTTTAGTGATTAACCCCATTTTATTGCACTACCTTCCTTAGTCTGACCACCTTCTCCCTTAGATAAATACTGTCAGGGAAGTTCCTTCTAATTAATCTTTTCAAATAAAAAACCCAGGCTGTCCTTTCAGTTATGGTTATTTTACCTTTTATATTAAAAGGCCAAAGGGTAACTGTTTCAGGAGGAAAAGCTTGTCTTAGGCAATGCCATGCATGTAAGACTCTTGCCCTGCTCATAACCTACAAAGTCAAGTAAATGCAAGCCTCCTTCTGGGTTTTAATGGAGCCATTCTGTGATAATAGACGTAGATGTCTGCCAACTACAGCAACTGCAATAAAAATACCTAGACATTCTGGATGGATGTTTTCCCAATGAATGACAAAGGTCAGACCAAACAACACCGTCATGGTCCCTGTGGGTTGATATCTCAGTCTACGCTGCTGTGCTTTTTGGCAAATCACTTAGACGTTGAACCTGTGTCCTCATTTAAAAGCCACTGTAAAAGCATTCAGCTTACCTCGCAGGAACAGCTAGTAACTGTAGTTGTGAAGCATTTTACCAAAACCTACTCAAGTCAACGTTAAGTGTAGTAAAGTGGAAGAAATTATTGCACATTATAAAGCTGTGGCGAATTTTACTAAAATCTAGCAAGGCCAACAGAAGTGCAGTGTAATACAAGAAATTACTAAATTAGTAAAGGGATAGTGCAGTTGTTCCAAAAGACCTTGATCCCGGGGTAGCTCAGGTCACTCCCTCAAGGCAAATCACTCAATACTTCAACATTCTTGTTTGAAGGGTACACGACTTCGGGCTCACAGCAGTGAGGTGAAAAGCAGGGGGGAACCGTGCGAAGACGCGATCTGAGCTTCCCGGTGGAGGGACCACCACAAGAAAAAAGCAGAGAAAGATTGGGGGACGCGGACTGTAGAAAAGGTTGCCCACGCACTATATGCGCGCCTCACCCTTCCGGGTCGGGCATCTCCAAATTCTCAAGCCTTTAGGGCCCAGAACCTGGAGAGAGTGGGGGTATCCCACAGAGCGGAGATGGGCTCCCCGGGCGAGGCGGGGTGCAGTCCTGGGGTCCGCTCCGATAAGACTGGGAGTAGTTGGGGAAGGGGCGGGGGCGGCAGTGGACAGCCGGGCGAGAGGAGGAGGGGCGAGGCGCCGTCGCCGGCCCCCTCCCCTCGAGTGCGCTCCCCTCCCTTCCTGTCCCCGGCCTGGCACCCGAGCGCAACCCGCCGAGGCCGGGCTGCTTCAGGGGGAGGCGCCAACTCGTCGCTGCGCCGGGCCCCCAACCGAGCAGTAACGGCGACCCAGAAGGCGGAGCGGATGCGGCTCGGGCCTGCGCTGAGGTAAGGCTGCAGGATGGCGTAGGAAGTCAAGAGGGCACGCCAGGCTCGAAGCCGGCCACTCTCAGATCCCCCCCCCGCAAGCGGCCATTTCTCTCCGCCCCCTCAGTCCGAGCTCCGAGACGCAGCGACAGCGGACGAGCAACCCCCGGGGTTACACCCCCGCCCAGGCCTAGGGCCGAGGCGTTGCCGCGCGTGCGCAAACCCGCTGGGAGGGGGGGCTGGGTGCGCGACTCAGGAGTTTGCCCCCCACCCAGGCCGCGGGCTCAGGCAGCGCTGCGCATGCGCGAGCCTGAGGGCAGATGTCGTGAGCGGAGCGAGGGTCTTGGCTGGCCTCGCCACTGCTGAGCCTTCACCGCCTTCCGCACGCGAGGAAGGGCGTCGTCCCGGCCTGCGGGGGCGGCGGCTGCCTTAGAGTTTCTCCTTCTCTCCCCATTCTTCGCTTCGCGTAGGCTCCTGCTGTTTTTATTTCTGTCGCCTCGACTCGAGGCTGGCGTCCGGAAAACCCATTCACCTAGCTCCTGGCCCCGAACCTGCTCCCTAACTCAGTATGATGCCTTTGACCTTGGGTGCTGTGGTTGAGGGACGGCAGGGAAAGTTTGGCTAAGCCAGGCGAAGCCGCTGTGGAGGGAGGGGAGGAGTCGCCTTAAGCCTTTATTTTAAGCCCGAAGGTATTGCTCTGCTCAGCCCCGGAAACAGGTTTTCAGACGCTGAAAACTTTCCAAGTGCTCCACCTTGGCCCGAGTTGGAAGGCGAGTTTAGAGCGAACTTTTGTTTTTGTTCTTTGGGAAGTTACATAAAATGTCGGAGCAGTGCGAGTCCAGGACTGTCACAAAATGCATGTCACAGAGCTGCCTCCTACAGCTCTTGGTGGCTTAGTCTTAGAAATGAGTGAAAGTGGTGGAGTTAACGAACTGCTTTGGGACGACGCTCTTTCCCCCAGACTCAGAATGACCGTCACTGTTTAATGTTTATAGAGCCTCATGGCTTTACACCCTTCTAGTACCAAGTTAGAACTTGGCTTTACACCTTCGTGTGCAGTGGTATTTAGTGAAAGTCAGTTTGGTGACTTCTGAGGCTACTTGGAGCGGTTTTTAACGATGTCATTACTGTGCTTTGTAATCTTAGATGATGTGCTGATACAGACATTTGGGGGCTGGAATTGAAGAAGCTCTTATTATCAGGGAATCTGAGTACTCTAGGTGAAAGGTAATCTCTATTTCCCAGGGCACTGAGATATATATATATACACATATATATACATATATATGTATATATGAATGTTATTAAGTAGTAGGTAAAGGCAATTAGAATGATACATTCTTGCACACCCCCCATACCCCACTTCTACCATGCTGGCCTCATTGGGCTTGCTGGGTTTACCAAGTGGGCCTCTACCCTAGGGCCTAGGCGTTTGCTATTTCCTCCATGCTCAAAGCTCAGTTTCCCCCTCCACCCGAATAATGTATGGCACCTACCTTAATCCAAGACTCAGAACAATTGCCATCACTTCAGAGAGGTGACTCAGGTCATTTAAAATAGCCACTGTTCTCTTTCCAACCTCTTACCCTGTTCTCTTTGGCTTTATAGCACTTACCACTGATAATACCTATTTCTATGTGTATGCCCTGTCTCCCCCATATTCGGAGCACAGTAGATATTTGTTAAGTGTATAAATGGAATTAAAATCTGACTCCAGAAATATTTTGTACTGAGCCCTCAATGTGGATTCATTCATTCATTCATTCATTCAACAAATACTGAGTGACTACTTTCCATCAGGTTCTGTTCAGGTGTTTAAGGTATGTCAGTGAACAAGATAGACAAAGATCCCTTCCCTCTGGAGCTTAACATTTCTAGAAAAGAATGATTGATAGTAAACATATTTGGTTATCATTTAGAAAATTATAAGTGCTATGAAAAATGGAAAAGAGCTGAGAAAGAGGACTAAGAGTACAGGTGTGGGTTGCAATTTTATACAGCATGGTTATGTTGGGTCTGAGGATACATTGAAGGTGATGTTCAAGACAGAGAACTAGTTTTTCAAATTATCTTTCTGGAGAAAATGTTTCTTGCCATTCTCCAGTATAAATTTGATGGGGGCCCACAGCATGACCATTGTGACAAATAAAACCTTATTTTATATAGGTAAAACATTTTTTTTTCCAAATTGGGTACAAATTATTCAGAATTTTATGGTTTAACCTAATATATCAAATGAAGAGACTGGGCTCTTAAGTAGAAAGGACTAGCCAAATGAATACTACAGATGTGTTGAGAAAAAGTGTATATTTTCTGCACATATTACTGTACTTTGCAATTTTTCTTAATGTCTCTCTGACTGATTAGTGAAAACTAGCTTTCTAAAAGTGGTCAGTTGCTTTTCTTTATTTGAAACTATGTTGAAAAGTCACCTGGTATGATATCATGTGATAAGTTATTAAATTATTAATCTTAGGGATTTCTGAATAAACCAGACAAGACTTAGAGAAAGTGGCTGATAGAGAGGAATAGTTTTAGAAAGTAAAGTGTGTCTTTTGGGCCCTTTACTTAAGTAGATTACAAACACTATATTAAAAACTATTAATCTGCAACTATAACTATAAGGTACCTATGGGGTTTGTCTAAGCCTTGAGGAGTTTGTCATATTTAATTTTGGTTTTATCATTTGGTTAGAATGGAATTAAAATGCCTCTAAGGTACCACTATTTTTGAGGTTTACTGGAGTTGAATTAGTTTAAATCAAAATTAACCAGACAAGAGAGATTTGAAACCAGGAGTGGAATTATCAGTGGTGCAGAATGAGATCAAAGACTCCTGTTTGAGGCTGAAAATAGAGGACTACATGGGGATATTTACTTCAAAGCAGCAGATAATTTGCCTCTCTGAGAGGGATATTTATAGTATACTTCAGTGAAAGGCAGATATCCTTTTCACTTTCATTCTCCGGAAGGAATATGTGTCTAGTTCACATGGTGATCCCATCTTAACAATATGAGAGTCTTTAGGAAATTTAAGGCATAATAGTTTTTTTCAGCATATATCTGACACTGAAGTGTGTGTCTTAGTGTCTTCAGCCTTGCTGATCTAACCTGAGCTGATATCTATTATGCACATCTCTCCATGGAAGATATTTTGAGCTAATGAGTACCAGATAGTAAGTAAATCATAAATAGATCACATTATAATATGTTTTGTATTAAATTAAATGTATATGATACCAAACAAAATGAATCCCCCCCCCAAAAGAAAAACCAAAACCAAAACCAAACCAAACCAAACCAAATGAATCCCAAATAGAAATGAGCCAAGGCTAAGAAAGCCTACCATGCTGAAGGAATGTTTATGTTGTGGGACAAAGATCTTTCACAGTTAGGATTTTTAAATTATTATTATTGTACTAGATCTATAAGGACCTAAATTTCAAATGGATTTACAGATTTTTTCAAGTACTAACTCATTTTAGCTAGTTTAACAACATAAAAACATTCGTATAGTTTATGTTGATAATTTTTCGTATTTGGAAAAGGTACTTTTGCTCTGTATATTTGAAAAGGCTAACTTTAATGAGCTCAGTAATCTCTTCAAACTAAATACAAGTTTTCTTGGGACTGAAGATCTGCCTCATCTCTCTTGATGAAATTTGGAAACCTTTTTACAAACATAATTAAAATAACAGTGATGTTTCTGTGTTCTAAGTCAGTTTGATGCTTATCATAAACCTGGCAATATAATTTCTTTTGTACCTTTGTCATAGTTGTGCTTTTTAGTCTTTCAGTTTTGTCTGTCCTGTTTATAATTTTCTCACATTAGTTAGCAACTGTGTAGGTATTTTACTGTTATTTGTAGGAGGCTTATCACCTCTCATTCAAGTAGAGGTACATTATAGCTGTTATCCTTTTTTACAAGTGATAATTGGGATCATGTTTTCTTGTATTTTTATCATTTATAACTTACAGATGACATATCACTTAATGGTTCAGTTAGAATGTTGGGAATCATCATTACCCCACTGACATTTACTTGGTCTGGACCTCATTAACACACTGTTACTGTAAACCGTGCTGGCATCCAAAAAGACATTAGTTTTCTTTAATGTCCTATTTCTTTGTTTATAAAAGTGGCATCAACGGTATTGCCCAGGTGGGAGAATTTGTTAAAAGCATTGAGTTCTGTATTGCAAGAAAACTTTTTTACGTATTTTATTTTTCAAGCATGGCTTTAGAGTTGACCTCATATTATGAAGTTGAATTAATTATATATTTACATATAATTATTTTCTATAATAATGTAATATAATATTGTAATATGTTATATAATATACCAAATAAAATACTTATATAAGAATATATTTATATATAATAATATAATTATTTTTAATATATATGTTTATACATATGTAAAACACTGGATTTTCTTTGCAGAAATTACCATTTTTTTCCACCATAGGAATTACTTCTAAAGAATGGTTATTAGCACTTGAAGTTCCTGGTTAATTGTAAAAACCAGTTTCCATGGAAGATGCTTTCTTCTCATAGATATAGTATGTCTAGTTTATTAAATCTTAAGGCCCACAAGTACTCTTGTGTTGGGGTAATGTTGACAGAAGCACGTGGGAGGTGGATATCTTTTTGCTCCACGTTATTTTGTTTTTTCTCTTATGTAAGTTTGCTTTCAGCTTAGTACCTACTGCAGACACCACATCAACATCTGTTGAATAAATTAGGCAAATGATTGTATGTCCTGTAATCAGCTTAACTCTTTATTTGGGTCAGAGGTATTACCAAGTAACATAACACATTGTCCTATTAGCAAACACACTGATTAACATTGATTACCAACAATACTATGTAGAGGCTGCTTATCATATACTTTGTGTAGGGAACTGAATAACTTGACCTGTTGTGAATTGGTATGTTTCTCATGTTCAGGTATCAAAGGACTGTCTTTTTATCCACCGTCTCCAACTGCGTAACTATTAAGAGTATAGGGAAAACTCTCAA